GGTGACATTTTCCACAGTGAAAGCCTAACTATGAGGACAAGTTCCGCGGTGCAGTAGTGGCCATTGCTTGGGCGAGGCTGGATCCATATGGAAGGCTGGTTTGTTTCCCTATTGACCTACACACCCTGATGCGCACAATCACACTGACTGGGAAGGCTGGGAGAGTGTGGGGAAGAATCACGACGTGGGACCCTGTTGAAGGTGTTTGTCTGTCTTGCTCCCTTTCTCTTTCTCTGACTCTTGTTCTCATAAAAGAAATAAACTTAAAAACAAAGTGTGTGATTCAGGTTGACTCTGTCCTCACCTTCCTGCCAACCTCAGGGGTCCTGTCCCTGCACCAGCTCCACCTGGGCTTTCTGCCCCAGGCAGCTGTCTGGGAGATGAGTGTGACTGTCACGTATCTAATAGCTGGTGGGATATGGGTGGGGGCAGATCACATCTCTGCTTTTAGTGGACTCCTGAAAACCATCCTCTTCCTTCCTTCCTCTTCTAGGTTGGTTGTACAAGATGCACACTGACTGATGTCATTCCAGTTATTTATTTGTAGATTCTGGAGAAGAGTGAGGAAGCTGCTGCTGTCTATAGTAAGCCAGAATTATCTCAGGGTCAAGGCAATTTGCTGAAAGCAAATTATAGCTGCCGTTGAAAGTTCCCCGATGCTACTACTACTGACCAGCATTTTACTTAGGTAAATGACTCAATCTCCCTGAGCCATCCATAAAAAGGAAAACAACAATAGTACTAACTTCGCAAGCTTCTGTGGAATGACCCCTATGACATAGCACCATTTCTGCTACCCAAGTAAATATGAATAGCCACCATTATTATTATACTTAACTTTATTACCTAAACAACCTCTTTCATGCTAGGGTGCCACAGAAAAGAAGGCTTTAGAAGTCCTCTTCGCTAAAATTTGTCATAACATCTCACTAAGAGGCTGAGTTACAAGAACAAAGATTGTGTGTGTGTGTGTGTGTGTGTGTGTGTGTGTGTGTGTGTGTATGAGAGAGAGAGAGAGAGTTCATGGTGACTTGGACTTTAAAGTGTTGAATGAATGCCTCATACACCTGGTATCCTGAGCAGTTTTGTTTGTAACATGGGTAGAAATCCTGAAAGATCTTACCATATATTCTACAATGTAGAACCATTATTTTTAAAGCAGGTTCTCCAAGGAGCTTTGAAACCATCACTCAACCTTCCTCCTTCTCTAACTTTTCTTAGTTTATTTAGCAGGTAAATATTTAGAAAAATACTCAAGTGCCAGAAGACAAATCTGGGGACCAAGTAGACGACGTAGTGGTTAAGGCACTGGAATCCCATGTGACTGACATGGTTCAAGTCCCAGACATGGCGGCTTGATACTCATGCCAGGAGCATGTGTGTGCATGGCCAAACTTCCAAGAGGAGAATGGAGAAGAGAGGATTGAGCCATGGCCATCCTTCCTGGGGGGTGGGGGTGATTTCTCATTTTCTGTCTGTCTCTCTCTGTTTCTTCAGTGAGTGCACACACCCTATAGCAAAAGTCTTTAAAAAAGAATAAAAAAGAAGACAAATCTGAGTAAGTAGGACCACTAACTTGTCCTCTTGCCCTCTGAGTAAGTGAACTGTATGACCGTCATGGACAGAGGCTCTTAGCCTTCAGAGTTCCTTGAGAAAGGACCTCCTGAAAACTATAGCACATCCTTTAGAGGTTGTGAAAAGAAATCTTAATTACACTATGGGCTCATTCCACACATACACACACACACACACACACGCACACACATATATGTGTGTGTATATATATATATATTGGGGGAGAAAACTAAAAAATTAACAAAGCAAGGATTCTTAACCTGGATCCAAGCATCTCATGAGTTACCTAAACGGCCAGCAAAATTGAGGAAAGGGCCTACATACAACTCCCAAAAGCTCTGTGGTTCAAAATGATAACGAATCTCACTTTGTCTTTCTGCTCCATGGCCATCTTCATGGTTGCTTTTGGTTAGAGGCCATCCCAAACCTAAGGCAGGAATATGGTGGCCACAAAAAAAACAAAAAAAAAAAAAAAGCCATTGAGGTCCAACAACCCTAGGCTTCAAATCCCTGTGACAAGTGGAAAGTATGTGCTGGGGGACAAGCTGACTCTGAAGGTGATAGTCTGACCCTCTTTACCAACTGTGTGGCCTTGAGGAAATCCAAAGTAGAGCACTATGTCATAGGCTGTCAAAACCGCGGTCCAGCACATCGTAGTGACAATAATAGGGAACTGAACAAGAATGTGGAAAATACCGCAGTGTGCACTCTGGCAGCCACTGATCTAGCTGATTCTGAGATCTCTAGGACTGCTAGAACTTTCCCAACTGGCAAAAAGTCAGTCATGCAAATCTCTTCTTTAATAAACTTGCTAGAGCTTGTGGGGGGAAAGGAGGAGAACTGGAAGAAGGAAAAGGACAAGGAGAAGAGGAGGAAATTGAGGGAAAGGAGGAAAGAGAAGGAAGAAAGGAAGGGCAAGAAGAAGGAGGGAGAGGAGAAAGGAGGGGTGAGAAGGAGGGGCAGATGAAGGAAGGAAGGAAGGAAAGGAGGGAAGGAGAGAGACAGAAAAGAGAAAATAAATGGAAGGAAGGAAAGAAGGAAAGGCTAGGAGAGTCAGACACAGCTTTGGAATGATATTTTGAAGTTGTAAGCTGTTCCCAAAGCCAAATACAACTGGGTAAATTTGGCAGATCTGAAGAATGAATAGCAACTTCAGATGTCAGAATTCCAGCTTCCACATGCTCCTCGCCACCTGATGCACAAAGGCAAGCCTCTCCCTGGTGTGCACAGCTCAATCCTCCCTCCCTTTCTTAAAGGCTCTCTTCATGCAGACTGAATTCCCTTCTCATCACCCTTTAGGACTGCTTACCCAGGATAAAAGCCTACCTCCCCTGCCACAGTATGTCCCCTGAGAGAAAGAAATATAGCTCCTCCCATCACCCAAACTATTTGCAGACCCTCCTTGCTATTTCCCAGGGCACAGAAGCCCTAATGCGATTACTTATGCAATGACAACCTGTCTATGTTGATCCACGTTCGCACCCTGGCCTATGTTATCTGGTCATTCTAGCTCGGTTTATTCTAGACTCTAAAAATGCCAGAGGACCACTGCCATTTAATTTTATTTTGTATAGGAGATATTTAAAGCAAACGTTTAATGGTAAACTTTAAAATCATTTTTTATTTTTCAGCCTTGCTAAGATTAGGAAATCTGGTTCTGTCAAAAGCTTTACCTATGGCTTTATTTCATTCCGGACATATTAAATGTTTCATACCATTTTCAGATACAATAGTCAATCTTCTTTTTAAATCTTTGTAAATCTTATTTCTGACTCAGTTTTTCCCTTCATTCCCTGCTTATGGGCCAGCATTTTCATTTCACTAAGGGAGAAATTCTATGGGGAATGTTTCTTTCAGGCATTCAAAGCCTTCACTACCTGTGTGGAAAAGTAAGGGTTTCCCAGTAGCTTTGAAGAGGGCATTTTGTATGTCTCATTTTGCTTCCTTGCTCCATTCCACCCACAGGGTACCCAGCAGCTGTTTTTCCCACTAGCAGCAACATTATATCTTAATAGCTGGCCAGCTTACTCATCTATGAATCAAACTCTGGACTCTACCATGCCTCTTCCCAGCACTCAGCCCTGAAGCACAAACAGAAGAGGGCTTTGCACCCCACTGCACGCCGCCCCATGACCTCTGGAGGCCTGAGGCCAGGTCGAAACAGGTACCAGTTGCCTTCCTCCTTTGACAATCAAAGCGTGCTTCAGATGGACGGACCACTTCCCCGCTGGCTTCGTGTCTGTCAAGCAGTGCTTCAAGCAAGTTGGCTGCAACAGCTAAGCATCCTCCAGGCCTCCATCCAATTAAGGCCACAGATTTGGCCCAAGCTCACCCACGCCTCCTGGAAATTACACTTATTTCACTTATTTCCCCAAAACTCCTCTGCCCACTTGCCAGCCCACCTGGCCCTGGGCTGGACTTCCAGAGGTTTTGTTCCCCTCTCAGCCAAGGTTATTTATTTATTTTTGAAACATTGAGGGAGAATCTTTGAATTTGCATGCTTCTCCACTGCAGAGGGAGGCTAGGGATGAGAATCTTTGAATTTGCATGCTTCTCCACTGGGCCTTCTCATCGGATAAAGCCAGGTGTGCTCAGAATTGCACATCCTCTCTCCACTCACCATCCACCCGCATTCCTCAAATCTAAAGCCAAGGGTGTGAATCTACTCTGCAAACATCCCCAAAGGGTGTGCCCCCAGTTTGAGCTCATCTGACCCAGTTGAGGAGCCAGAATGAAAAAACATCCACTAGTTCATACGCACTTTGGGTGGTGGCCTAGGGCGTCCGCAGGGCTCCCACCCTGCCTCCCCCACGAGCCTGGCCCTGGTGCCCTTTGGGTTGTTTCAAGCAGCAGCTGCAATATGTCAGTGCCAAGTGCAGAAAAAGCCAGTGTGGGAGAGGTTGCAGGCCGGGTGACGTTAGCAATGAGTAAATCTACAATCAGCAAGGAAGAGGGGGGTCCAGGAAGAATCGCAGGCAGTAAGGACAGCCAGGGCTCCCCGGGACAGTAGCGGGGTTGGAGGTGTTTGCGGGAACCAGGCAGCAGGCCGGGGCGCGCGGCGAGGCCACCCACCTCTTGATGCAGCTGCTGAGGCGGTAGAGCTGCCCATCCAGGCGCACAAAGCCGTCGCCGAAGACATTGAAGCCCCCGCGCGTGGCCACTGGCTCCCCCGGCCCAGGCACCACGAGCTGGTCGCCGCGCAGCTGGAAGGCGCCGGGCTGCAGGCGCAGCAACTGAGCCAGCGGCAGCAGGGCCAGCTCGCAGTCGCACGTCCACAGGCTGCGCAGCTCCCCCGACGAGATCGAGGTCAGGCTCGGCCTGGACGCCGGCTCACACGCCACCCCTGCCATGCCTTCCTCGGTTTCACCGCGTGCTGCCCTTCCACCGCCTGCTTCTCTCCCGGCCCCACCAGCCCCAGCCGTTACCTGACAGTTCCCGAGAGAGGCTGTCCACTCTGCCTGCGTCTGCCTGCAGGGGAGTTCCTTCTGTCCTCCTTCTCCAAGTCGGGGCGCAGGCACCGCTCAGGTGTCCCCCTGCCCGTCCAGATGGTCACCTTCCCCAGCTGCAGCCTGCTGCGTTTCAGGCACTGCGGGAAGAAAGTGCCCTGGAGCAACGCGGTCCTTTTTATCTGCCCTGGAAACATTCGTCGCGCCCCTCCCGGCCCGTGGACACGACCCCAGACGCTGCGGGCCGAGTTATCGTCAGCTCATAACTTGGCACGCTCTGGTTTGGCCGCGCCAGCTCACAGCCAAAGCTTAGTCATCCCCCTCGGGTCCGCTGCTCAACTCCAGGGCTGGGCTTGCTCCAGATCACTGCTGGGGCCTGATGGTGGGAGAGCGTTCCCCGCGGCCCAGGCCTGGCCTGTGGTGGGCCGCAGGGTGGGCAGCACTCTCCACCCTCCACCGGAGGGTCAGGGGCCTTCAGGAGACAGTGCTGGGGTCAGGTCCCCACTCACATCCTGCTTTGTGCTGCAGCTGAGGGCTGACCACTGGTTCCCAGGCTCAGTTTTCTGCATTTCCCTCCTTCTACCTTTTCCTCGTACTGGTTCCTGTCCCTCGATTCCTTTCCACCTAGAAATTCACTGTTCCATAAAGCCCTCTCAAATTTGCAGAGACTCCTTCACCTTGCCAACCTTCTTCGCACCGTGGACCAAAGGCAGCAGTGTACCCTGTAGTGGGAATGGAAGGGACATAGCAGCCTTCCCTCCTTCCCTGCCTGCCCAGCTGGTCCTGAGTTCCTTGTGCCCCAATGTGTTCATCCTTCAGTCTATAAATATTTTTCAGAGCTAGTTGTGTGCTCATTGATCTCCCAAGGTATGGAAGGAGGACTATTTCATTCAGTGTAGTGAAACATTATTTCTAAAACCTCTACTAGAAGATAGACAATACGCTACACTCTAAGAAGAACAGAATGGATGAACATAATCTCCATCCTCTCCTAAGTCGTCCAATGGAGAGACAGACCCACACCCTAAACATGACAATGCACTAAGTGGAAGTTCTGCTGCCAACAAAACTGGGTGTGAAGGGAGGGGCATTAGCCCTGTTTTCAGGCTTTCTGAAGTACTGAGATTTAGGACTCTCAGCCAGATCCTACAAGTTGAATTGAACTTAGAGTATACCTTCCAGCTGCCTTTGCATGCTGCCTACATGGAATTCAACAACTCCTCCTTGACCTTGGACCTACACGGTCTGTGGACAATTTGGCTTTGTGACATCCAAGTTTCAGGTCAGCGGTCTATGCACTTAAGATTAATATAGCAGTTGCTCTTGTTTGCTTAACAATAAAATAATATTTATTATTTGAGTAGAAAAAATGAGATTATTCTTCACATTTCTCTGATTTTACAATTTTTCTGCATTTTCCAAATGAATGTGTTTTGTTTTGTACAGAAGAATGATGTCAAGCATAAAGAATACAATTTAAGGATGCTTTCCTGGTGTGTTATCTAAAGGTTTCGTTTGATGCATTTTCAGTAAAAACACCTGCATTTTTTCATGGATAATTTATGCACTACCAAAATACCAGAGAAAGAAATAAAAAAGGGGAACAGGCAAAAACAAACCAAACAGTGTTCAATGTGATGGCAGCTTTTGTTAATCAGTAGAGAGCTATAGAGATTTTTTTTCAGGTTTAGTTTCTTTTTCATTATCGAACCAGGCAAACATAATCACTGCTAGTGAAGATCTTTTCAGTCATTTTTATTTTACACAGTTGATTTCACATTACAGAATTTTAATTCTGTTTTCCTTATGTAAAACTGTATGTATACGATATTTCAAAAACTGCAATGTCCTTGCTAATATTATTTTAGATCACTGTTATTGTACATCAAATAGATACACTATTGTTTGTCCCACCATTTCTCTAGGACATTTAGATTTCTTTACTATAAACAATGCCACAATGAACATCTTTGCACTGTAACTTTTTTCTGCATCCAAACTCTCAGAAGTGAATTTATTGGGAAAAGTGATATGAGAGCGTGTAAGGAATTGTGTACCATTGTTTTCCCAAAGAACCATTCTAATGTATCGATTATCTATTAAACTATTCTCATGGCTTTAAATCTTTGGTACCATTGTAGAGTACCACGTAGTTTTACATTTGTATTTCTTAGATTACAAGTGAGGTAACAGTTTATTAAATTCAAATTTAGAAACTACTTATAGCAAAGCAATCCCCTATCTGTGAGTCTGTGGCTGTTTGCAGATTAGAGGAGGTAAAGATCACATTCCCATTGGGGGGGTGACTGTGTTCTGGTGACATCACCAGCTCACAGACTCAGTTCCTCAGCATTGGAGGTCCACAGCTGATCAAATTCAGAGATCCCGATTCAGATTTACCACACTCACAACACGTTTACCATCCTGCACCACCACTGCCTCAATTCTTGGGTTTTTCTTTTTTTTCTCTTTTTTGGAGAGGTTTTTGCTATAGGGTGTGTGCGCTCACCAGACAGACAGAGAGAGACATAGAGACAGAAAGTGAGAAATCAACCCCCAGGGGGGATGGTCATGCCGCAATCCCTTCTCCTCCATTCTCCTCTCGGGATTTTGGGCACGCACGCACACGCACCCGGCGTGAGTTTTAAGCCACCGGGTCCGGGACGCAAACCGCGGTCGACTACGTGGGAGTCCAGCGACATAGCCATTACGCTAACTGCTGGTTCCCGAATTCTTGGGTTTTTCTACCAACAGTAGCTGTGAGCTTCTGCTGTCTTAAACACAGAGAATATTTTTAAGCATTTGTATAGCCCTCCATTTGAAGCTACTTTACCATCTCTCTTCTCTTTGTAATCGAACTCCCCCAAAGAATGATCTAAATTCCTTACCTACCATTCATTCCTTGAGACTTCACAATCTGGCCCGGTCTCAGTGGTAACGGCAGCAGCATACTGAATTGAAGTGCCCAAAAAAGTAATTTGGTAGGAAGGCAAACATGGGTAGGAAAAATAAGATGAATAAGGTTCATTCAAAATGCATTCCTTGAGAATATAAACACTTGCTATTGGTGGACTACAGATTTGGCCCTGAGAAATCTCAAAGCCAATGAGAAATGCTCACTTCTTCAAAATCTCATAATGATTGGTTACTGAGTTTGAATCCCTGGTTGACCTGAAACATGCCTGGCACATGCACCCAAGATCCTGACTGGAGGGCAGAAGGAAGAGATTGTAGTGTGATGAGATTCTATTGGGGGAGGGTCTCTTTCTCTCTTATGAAATAAATAAAATAACCTTAAGGGGAAAAAAGGCTTTATAATCTGACTTCTGCCCATTATGCCACTAAAAGTGAACTCACTAAGGCCATATTGCCAAAGCTAACAGACATTTCTACTTTGATCTCACTGACCATATTTGTCCCTACAATTCTCTCCTCCTTTACTTTGTGAAGAATGTAGTCAAAAGTGGAAAAGGTTTTACAGTTTAAAGCCTAACTAACATTTGGCTAGCCATGTCATCTTGAGTAAGTTTCTTTCTTTCTTTCTTTCTTTCTTTCTTTCTTTCTTTCTTTCTTTCTTTCTTTCTTTCTCTCTCTCTCTCTTTTTCTTTTTCTTTTTAGAATTATTTTACTTAAATTTATTTATTTATTTATTTATTTACTTACGTATTTTAATTTGACCAGAGAGGGACAGAGTGAGAGAGAGAGAGAGAGAAAGGGAAAACGAGAAAGCAAGCCACCAGTTCTGGGACTCAAACCACAGTCAGCCATGTGGGAGTCCAGCGCTCTTAACCACCATGCCATCTGCCAGCCCAGAGCAAATTTCTTAACCTGTTTCATCTTCAACTGTCTAATTTCTAGACTTAATGCAATAGAGAGAGAGGCAGAATAGTGATACCCTGGTACAAGCATTGCTGCCTGATCTCTGGATTGGAGTTCAGAATCTAGCTCTGTGACCTTGAACACAACACCCTGTGTGTTTCAATTTCCTCTTGTGTAAGTAGTGGGGTTTTGGGGGATTTCATGAGCTATTACAAAGTCCCTGGGCAGTGTCTGAAATAATAATAAATGTGTTTACATGTTCACTCCATGCCTACATCAGGGAACTCCTACAAGCATTCAATGAGAGGACAGGACATGTGCGGCATCTAACTCAATGCCTGGAACATAGTAGGCCCTCATTTAATAGTCCCAGCTCCTGTCTGCTCCTAATCATCCTCTCTTCTCAGGCCACTCCTGTTCCTGAGTCCCAGGGATCTGTCCTTGGTCACCTTCCCTTTCTCTGGGTGACTTTGTCTAAATCCCTGGCTCTAATGACCTCATATAAACTGATGATTTCTGAATCTCTAGCTCCAGGCCAGACTTCTTTTTAGATTCTCCTACCCATATACCCCACTCTGTTCAATCTCTCCATATGATTTTCCACCGTCAGCTCCAATTCATCATCTTCCGCTCGCCATTATATGCTCTTTTCCTGTGTTCCTCATCCCAGGGAGGCATCACCATTTCTCTATCCAGCACTTGGAAGGCGTCCTAGACTGCATCCCTTCACTTCTTCCCTGCCCACACCCTCCTCCACCAGCCCTCCACCCCAGCCCTCTGGGCCAGCTGTCCGCCTGCACTTGCTGACTCTGTCTTCCACCAATTTCAGCAGTCACTCTCTTCCTTCCTACCTCCCTGGCCACTGATTGCATTTAGCTGTCTATTCCTTTCCCTGGACTAGTCCAGTGGCCACCAGACCAGCATCATCTTCCTCATTCCCTCCTCTTCATGTGCCCTGTCCCTCCCAAATTCAACGACTGATGTCTTAATTTCTATATCACAGAATGTGACTATTTGGAGATAGTTTCAGGAGTTAATTAAGGTAAAATGAGGTCATAAGGGTGAGGTCCAAGTCCCATAGGATTCTTATCCTTATAAGAAGAGGAAGAGATTCTAGGGGTTTTGGACACACAGAAGAAAGGCCATGTAAGGACACAGCCAGAGGCAGCCATCTGCAAGACAGGAAGAGGGCCATCATCAGAAACTGAACCTACACCTCATGGGCTTCTAGCTTCCAGAACCGTGAGAAAGTAAATGTCTGTCTTTAAGCCACTCAGTCTGTGATACGTCACGATGGCAGTTGGAGCTGACTGAGACCTCCTCCTCACCCTCAGGTACACACTCTTGGTTCAAGGCCTGTGGATTGTGGTGTGCAGCTCCCTGAAAGTGTGGCTTTCTTTCCTTCAAAGCTGTGCACAGTCTGTTCCTGCTATGTGGCCCCCTCTTCACTTCATAGACCCTCACTTACCTTGTAAGACACAGTTTAAAATGACTCTAAGCTAAGTTAGATGTCCTTCCTCCTTCCTCCATTGGATGGATGATACACACTGTGCGTGCCCTCCTCACAGTCTCTGCAATTGGGTTAATGATTTGCTTGTCTGTGTCTCCCACTAAACCCATGAGAGAAAAAAAGAACATCAACAAAAGAACAAAAACACAAACCAGAATAGCATCTATGCCTTTATATTCCTAGCATGATGTGGTTTCATAGGAGATAATAAATTTATTTTTATTGAATGAATGAATAAATGAATGATAGCAGCTTCGTGTCATGGTTACATATAAAGTGCTTAGTACTATCGGGTGTTAAATAAATGAGCAAAATCACTGAACATGATTCTGATCCTTTTTTTTTCTGTAATTCTAACTGTTGAAGTCTTATGAAAGCCAAAGTAGGAACATATGGGAAAATAAAAGCCCAAATTTGCAAAGAGATCTATCCATGCAAATAAGTTCAGATGTGTAGTTATTGCACCGATTCCTGACAGTTTTAGTCATGGCTGAACTGGAATGGAAAATTCTACTTCCTGCCCTTTGCGCTTACCTCACTAGCTCTGGCTGTGTTTTTCTCTGAGTTCACTGCTTCCTGTCTGCCCGAGTAAACATTCCCACTTGGCGGCAGGGTTCACATGGAAGCCATCCCAGGCCAGTTGGTTATTCTGGTTCTTTGGTACTTCAGTTGAAGCTCTTTAATTGCTGGTCAGACACTCTGTGTTGTGGGACACTGAGCAAATGTAGGTTAGGACATTGCAACAGATAGGAGCATCTAGGACATGGAGAGCCTAGAGGAAGCACGAACGATTATGGAGAAGACTCAACCTATTGATGAGAACTAAGTGCAGGAACGAGGGTCCATTCAGTTCTACAAACACTGCTTGCATGGGCTGAGTGCCTGTGTCTCAGAG